GAACTGGAGAAGGAGTGAATGAGGGAGGGAGGGTGTGGCAAAGACTGTGGGCCCCGGGTGCAGTAAAGGGTTAACTCAGCCGGCTTAGGGTGCTCAAACCCTGCCCATTCCAAAGAAAGGACTGGGCCTTGACCGGTGGTTGGTAGATAACTTCTGAGCCCTTCAAATATCCTGCCTGATAATGGTGTCTTTGTATACCTTGGGCCAGATCAGAGAATTTATGTTAACAAAGTGACTTATGGAAAACACCTGCTTTTTTTTTTTTTTTTTTTTTTGCCTGAGGCCCTGGGTCACCCTGTGTCAGTTTGACCTCTGGGTGTCGCGCCGGAGACTGAGTAGTTAAGGCCCACACAGGTGCTTCATGCCTACGTGACTGACCCTGTGACAAGCCCAGGACACCAAGGCTCAGGTACACTTCCCTGGATGATGATTTTCTGCACAGGTGTCACACATCCCTGCTGGAAGAATGAAGCATTGCCCATGACTCCCCCCAACCCCAGAAGGGACACCTGGAAGCTCGCTCCTGGTCTTTCCTGGACTCTGCCCTATGTGCCTTTTTCCTCTGTATCTGTTTGCTGTAACAAACCGTGACCATGAGAAGAACTTTTTGGAGTCCTGTGAGTCCAAGTGACTCATCAAACCTGAGGGTGGTCTTGGGGCCCCTGCCACACCTGCTTTTTCAAGAAGTCTTGCAGTGATAGGAGCAGAGAAAGAGTGAGGCCTTGAGGCGTGTATTGGCTTGGGGTGGGGGGATTTGGTGTGAGTAGATACGAGGGCATCATCACAAGCCTGTTGGAATGATAAAGTTGACAAGGAGAAGTTGGTGACTCAGGAGAGATGTTCTTGGGGAGGTGCGGGGATGGGGTCCAGTACACAAGGTCCTCTGGTAGGAGCAGGGATGGTTCGCACTGAGTGGCTGGAGGGCAGCTGGAGAATGTGCAGGTTTGTAGACAGACTTGGTGAGGCGATGATCGTTTTGTTTCCTCAATGGACTGTGGGGTAAAGTCACCCTTGAGGGTGCGGGACGGGGGGTGAAGAGGCTCTAGGAGGTCTGAGGAGGGAGAGGGTCTGATTTTTAGCTACTTGGAGAGCAAGCCCTCATACAAGGCAAGTGCTAAGATTGTAGGGCAGGCAGAAATGCCCCTTGGAGATCTCTGGCCATGAATTTGAAATGAGAGTCAACATACATCAGAGCCCTGTGCTCTTCTGCATCAGGGTTCAGCTGGGCAGGTGTTGACATGAAGCAGGTGGATGGTAGGGATTAAACCAGGGTTGGACATTGCCAGCTGATGGGATGGAGGGAGAGAGGGTGTTTGTAAGTAAATCAGTGCGAGAGAGGATAAACAAAGTGTATTGCCTGCAGCTTAATTTTGCTCTGTGGTAAGTAATCAAAGGCAATATTTTAAAACAAATCTGGGTTCATTTTGGAGAAGGAAGAAAGCACACGAGGTTTTCGAATAACTCAGTACACTTCAGATATGGTTTCCCTGTTTCAAGTGCTGCTTCCAGCTAGCTATACCCCCTGGTCTTCATGGGGTGAGGTTCACTTAGGTGGGAAGTTTGGGAAGCTTTCGAAAATTCTGGAAGGCCTGTCCTACCGGTGTGACCCCCTGACCCGCGGGCCCCCTGGCATTTTCACAGGGGCTGTCTGTGAAGGTTGGACACGGTCCAACTACGAGCAATAACAGTATTAATGGGATGGCAGAGGCTGTGCCCCTAAGATGGTGTGGACAGGGAGGGCTGGGGACCAGATCAAGACCTCCCCGGGGGTAGGGCAGGTGCTGCAGGGGTGGGTGGGGGTAGCAGACCCTTACACTGTCAAAGAGTCCAGCCGAGAGGCCAAACAAGTCAGAGGAGTCCAGGTAGACTGTGGAGCAGGGACAGGTTGAAATACAACAGAGTCCCTCCCTCTCTCCTACCCCATTGCCTCTAGGGCCCAAGGGAGGTGACACTCTGGGGGTCCAGGCAAGTGACTCAGGCGGACTGGGTCTCAGGGAACAAGTCAGGGACCTGATTCCCAGAACTGGGGCACGAGGTGGGGATGGGGTGTTGGGAATGAGGCCAAAACCCAGTTATCAGAACTAGGACACTTTCCATGTGGGACTTGTGTTCTTTACATCCTTCCTGCATAAATCCTGGGAAGTGGGGTATGTCTGTGCCTGGGAGCTGGCAGAACGATCAGTCTGAGAGGCCAAAGTGGTGAGGCTACGGGGCACCAAGACGGCGCCTCCTGTCTTTTTCTGCTGCCCTGCCCTAGGTAGCCGTCCCCTTCCTGCCCCACACCCCCCAGGCTAACTCCACCCTTGCAAGAAGAGCCTCAGAGTAAACATTGTTTATTTTGAACATTCAAATTTACAAAAACAAAAAAGTAACAAAACCTAGGACACATCTCATACACATACACACACACACACACATGTTGCATCTCATGTCACTTTATGTACAAAATTGGGCGGGGGGGGCGGGTGCACTAATTTCACAGTGTCAGACAGCTGGACGTGCTCACTCACTGCTCAGCCTGGGTCCACGAGAGCCCCTTCCCCACCCAGCAGGGGTGAGGTGGGGTTTGGGGTGGCAGGCAGCTGGGACAGAGGGGAAGAGAATGATCCCATCTTTGGGAGGGGACCCTTTCTCCAGTCTGCTCCGGGCAAGGTGCTGGGAAATGGAGAGGAACCAGGGACCCAGTTCTTGGTGGCGGGTAGGGACCACTGCGTTGTGGAGAGTCAGAAAGCTGAGATCAGGTCTCCAGGTGTCCTGGCTGGGTGGTCCCAAGGGCCACTCACCCTTCCGGGGCCCCCGCATCCTCATCTATAAAATGAGGCTTCAGGAGGGCCTCCTGAAGAAACCTTCCTGCCCAAAGCTGTGGTCCTAGGTCATGCACGATTGTGGCAAGGTGATCCGTCCCCTCGGGATGTTGACTGGGGGTACAGCATGCCACAAAGGGGCAAAATCTGGCAGATAAGAGCTGTGAAGCACCTGGCGCAGGGCTTGACCCAAAACAGAAGTTTGAGAAAGATCATCTCCCCCATTCCCGGCCTGGGCCTCTTGGGAGACCGTCCAGCTTCCTCTTACCTTTGAGTTCTGGAAACAAGAGCCAGTTGAAGGGCTGAGGTGGTGGGCACACTGCAGAGACCCCTCCCACGGCCTCCCCCAAGGGGACCCCGGCCCTGGGGCCAGCCCATCCCAGGCCTCTTCCTCCATCACCAACCCTATGAGGGTAGTGAATGGGGTCAAGCACATCTCTTTAGGGAAAAACCCATTGGGAGCAATGATGCTCAAGTCCCACTCCACAGAGAGTAGGGGTGCTGGCCCCTTTGGTCCTGGCTGTAATCTGCCTTGGTTTGAAGTCTGGGCTCCAGCACCTGCCAACTGACTGACCCTGGGCAGGTTACTTAACCTCTCTGTGCCCCGGTTCCTTCCCTTGTATCATGGGGCTAAGAACAGTCCCAGCTTACGACTGTGTTGTGAGGATAAATGAGATGTGAGGGGCTCAGCACAGTGCCTGACATTTAAAAAAGATGGAACAAACAGGCTCCAGCATCACCATTAGCCAGAGCAGCTCAGGGACACAAGCAAGCGCCATTTCTAGCTCCTCTTTCCCTGTCTTCTTGGCTGTGCCCAGGAGCAGCTAGACAAGACCCGAGCTGGCGTCCAAACAGCAGCCATTCAGCAAAGGTGAAGAACGATCAGTGGATGAAGGAGGGGTGGGGACTTTCGGGCTTTCACCTTCCTGGAATGGAAATGGGCACCCAGGCCACTCACCAATGGCCCAGACTCACAGTCTGCACCTCAACGCCTCTAATTTGTTCCTGTGCCCTTTGGAGGGCCGACCAGGGTGACTCAGCATGGGACCAAGGTCAGATGTCTCATCTTTGTCACCATGACAAAGCGTAAAGGACTTGGGATGATGCCTCTGGGTAGGCTCAAGTTCTGTCAGTTCTCTCCTAGACCCTTTCTTTCCCCAAGGCCTCCACAAAAGCTGCTTCCTTAAAACCGGTAACAGAAACCCAATAAAGCCCATTGTCCCGGGAATCTGGGTTCTGAATCTGCTGTCGTCCCAGCAACAGCATATGTCTAAGAGACGCTTGACCCAGCACTTAGGCTGATGTCATTGGCTGTTACCAGGGTAACCTTGGTCTCAGCAGGTTCTGGCTGAAGCACGCCATCGCTTCTTCTTCTAGGGGGAGTTGGGCCCGTGGTGCTGAACGGTCTATTTGTGCTCTTGAACTGGCAACAAGGGAGGGAACTGGGGGCTGGAGGCAACAAGTCTTGGAGAAGCCTCCATGGCAAGGGGCCCCACAGCCTGCAGCTCTTGCATCTTGCCTCAGGTTAAGCGGTGGTAGGGAGCAGAGACAGGGAACAGAAAGCGGGGCAAAAGGCACCGGTACCTGCTCGAGTCAGGTAGCCTGCAGCTGCCCAGACACCTGGTAGGTGACTGGCAGAGGGAACACCTGCCTTCCATTCCTGCCAGAGTGCCTGGGGATCACCCCTCTCCTCCCTCTACTTCCTGTGGTGGGGGGGGTCTCGATGCCAAGATGTTTGTGTGTTTCATAAAGGAAGATGTTCATGTTGGAAAGCATTCTGACCTCTTTAAAATGTCTGTCCTCTAAGGTGAAGGCTGGACTCAAAGACACTCACGGGCAGGCAGTACGGTGTAGGGAGGAAGAAGACTGAAGAGGGTGTCAGAAGCCCTGGGTTCTAGCCTTGGTTCTGCCACATTGTGCTGTGTGGTCCTGTGTAAGTCACTTGACCTCTCGGAGCTCTTCCCCATCTATACAAGCAAGAAGTCAGACTGGGTATTTTCATTCTTTTACATTACAGCTTTTACATTCTTCCACTCTCTTGGGGGAGCTGGTGAGGACTCAGGGTGGGGAGCTGGAAGCCTTTAGCCCTCTCAGATGGGCAAGGGTTCCAGGCTGGAGGGGGGGCGATCCAGAAAAGCTGGTTTTTACAATCTGTACATGAGGTTGGTCTGCCTTACCTGTTGCCCTTGCCCCTGACTCTCTGGAGGCAGCTCCTGACCCTGACCCATGCCCGGCCAGATCCCATCTGCTGCCTACTCTCAGGATCTGCCCTGGTTCCTAGGTAGCGTCAGGCTTGCCCCACCTGATCCACTTGGAATCACAGACCACCTCACGTTTGATCTGGAGAAATGACCAAAGCAAGGGCCTCAGCTCACAAATGAGGAAGGCCAAGCCAGAGAAGGCAGGGACTTACAGAAGGCTACACAGCAGGTGAGCAGCTGGGCTGGCTAGGAACCATGGGCTCCTTCTCATCCAGTGCTCTGTACACCACTCCGTGCTTCTCCCCTCTTTGCCCACTCGGTTTCTCCCTTCTTTCCCCAGAGGCTGCGGGGGCCATGCAGAGGGATTAGGTAATGTGGCTGTGCTGTAACCTGGGTCCCCTGGGCACATGCCTCTGTCACAAGCTGCTCCCAGCCCAGGCTGACGTGACCCAGGCCCTGTCCTGGGCACAGAGGAGGAGGGGTGACCTGCCAGTTAGCACACATGTGGGTGGGCACAAGGGGTGACTATGGCCTTTTGGCCTCCCAGGGTCTTGGTCCCTCAGGCTGGAGCCGGGAAGGAGATGTCCTGGGAATTGAGGTGGGGGTGGGCCAGGCATGGAACCAACATTCAAACCACTGCACACAAAGAAACGAGGAAGGAGGAGGAAGAGAGAGGGTGCAGGAGGCTCCATCAAGATCCCCTTGCCCTTCACTGGCAACAGGTGGAAAGATGGAGGAGGGGTGAGTCTGAGTCTCCTCTGTCTCTGTCATCCCTTTCTCAGCTGGGGGGACAGCTCTAGAGCTTGTTGTGGCCCTGAAGGGGAAGGGGCCAGGCCTGTTGCTTGGGGGACGGGGGGCAGACAGCCACGCCTGCCACTGAGATAGTGGGCCCTTCCTCCATACATGACCCCATGGGACATGCTGTTGAGATCAGTGGCATCAGACGTGGTGGATGGGCCAGGGTGGGTGGGGTAAGACAGCTCCAGTGTGATGCCGAGAGGGTGGACAGTGCTGTGGGCACTGTTATCACCCCCCACCAGGCCCTGGACTCACCCCAGGCTTGACCTGTTGGCTTGAGCTGCTTGTCCCCATCCAAGTGGGGTTAGGGGACAGCCACTGCAGGGCAGGGCATTCTGGAGGTGTGGGTATAGGTGGGGGAAACGGGAGGCATGGCCAGGAGCAGGGCAGGAGGGAAGGCCAGTGTGTGGGTAGGCTGAGGAGGGAATGTGTGCCCCCACCGTAAGGTCCCCAAAATGGCAGGCAAGGGAGGGACCCTGGATGAGGTGGCCCCTCATGCTTTGGCCCTCCCCTTGCAGACATCAAAGGTGGTCTTTTTTGCACCCCCGAAGGCCTCCACCAGCTTGTCTTCCCAGGGGAGGACGTTGCCCAGCAGCGGCCCGGTACAGTTGGCAATGCCCAGGACTTGGGCAGGTGTCAGGGCGTGGTCCCACAGGTTAAACTGGGCGATGTCACCCACGAAGGCCTGGGTGGCATCAAACCGACCGCCCAGGGTGTCCTGGGCCAAGAGAGCAGAAGAGAAAGGAGAGAGAGAGACATGGAGTGAGCCATCAGGAAAGACAGGCAGACAGACTCAATCAGGCCCCAGGTCCTGCTGAAGCCCCGCCCATAAAGTTCTAGCCCTGCCCCAAGCTTCCCCCTCTGTCCCCAAGGTTCCAGCCCCTTGGGCTGGTCACTGCTCATTCTGAGTCTCAGTTTGCCCATCTGCAGAATGGCTGGGTCAAACTGATTACTGCTGTGCTTCCAGGGTCCCTTTACCTAACCCCTCCTTCTCAGGGGCCCTGGGTGAGTATGATACCTACTCAGGCCTCAAGCCCCCATACCACCCTGAGCCTTACCTGCTCTTGGCCCAGGATAAGGATCCCATGAGGCTTGATGGGGTGCCAGGCGGCTAGGTTCTCACCAGAGCCCTGCAGCTCCCCGTCCTGGTAGGCAGACCACAGGCCATCCCTTGTGGTCCAGGCGATGCAGATGTGGTGCCAGCCATTGTCCTTCAGGCTCAGAGGCAGCTGGGCCACCTGGACATAGGTCCCGCAACCCCAGGTCAGAGGTGCCACAAGTCCCAAAGGCTGGACCAGCGGGGTGGGGCCCAGGAGACCCATGTCCTTTCCAGGGACTGAGCTGAGGCTTACCCTCCCCTTCCTCTCAACCCCGTGTCTTTCTGACCACTTTTTCCTCTTTCCGCACAACTTAACCAGGCAGCTTCTCTCAGATCACAAGGGACTATTCAGTATTGGTTTTCGGGTGTTTCCAGGTTCCTTATTCACCCCCTCACAGGCCTGTAAGGTCATGTGGTGCGGGAGCCACATTTCACAGCCTCTGAACACCTCACACAGCGCCTGGCACACGGTTGGGCTCAAGGAGTACGAGCAGCCTTGGACTCAGAGGCTGGGCACTGGCATCCAGCCCTGGCTCTGCCAACCAACTTCCTGTGGGACCTTGGGGAAGCTGCTCTGTCCTCCCTGGGCCTCAGTTCCTCATGCAAAGGATGCTAATGGTCAGGCAAAGGATGGCAAATATGTAGCCACCTCTGCCTCGTCTACCCAAGGCGGACATGGCTAATCAATCGTGAACCCAGGCTCAGCCCCAGGATCTTTCCTAAAACAGTGCTCTGGGAAGCCGCTGGTGATTGATTAGCATTGGCCTGTGAGATGAAATGTACTTGCTGCCTGTGGATTTGGGACTCCCGAAGGGCTCTTTCATCTCCAGAGTTCTGTGAGATCACGCTTTAATACATATTCTCTGAGGCCCACTTAGTGCCAGGCTTGTTCTGGACACTGGGGATGTGGATCTGGTCCTAGCTATAAATGAGCTGAGTCTGCAGGGGAGGGAAGAACTTCAGGGACAATATTATAAGGCAAAATAACAGGGGCCATTTGGGAGGTCCAGAGGAAGAGGCAGGTGTGGGACAGCAGACATGGTATTCAAACACCTCTGGAAGGACAATGGATCTGACTGTTCCACTGCAAGTCAAAGCAAGGTGGGGGCACAGCAGGAGCAAAGGCTAAGAGGCTGGAATAAAAGGGGAACTGAGTAACCTGTGAGGCTGACGTTTAAAAAGACGCTAGAGTTCCCGGAATAGGGCCATGCTGTGCCCTGTCCAGGGTGCTGAATCCTTTCCCCTGAGAGCAGAGTGCTGAGCTTGGGCAGGGCCAAGGATGGCAGCCAGGGGGTGTGTGAAGGGGACATGGCAGCAGGATCTAGATGTACTCCAGCTACCCCAGTCTTCTTAGGACCTACTGGGCTACAAGAGAAACTCACTGCCCCCTGGCCCCATCTCCTTCCTCCTCCTCCTCCTCCTCCTCCTCCTCCAGGACACCCATGAAAGACACCTCCTGCTGAGCTGGCTTCTGATGGGTGACAGCCACTTCCCGGCAGCTCTAAGTGGCTGTGGGGGGGTCATAGGTGGGTGTGATACATGGTGTCTGCATCTCCGGGGGGGGTGTCTCAAAAGACCACCATGCCTGCAAATCCCAAAGCAATATGGCAGGTAGAGGAGGACACTGGGGTGAATGAGGATGATAAGATGCCACATGCCACTCCCACACCACTCCCCCGTGTCCTTGTCCGGATGTCACCAATGACAAGGTGAGTGGGGGCTGGGCGGCCCAGGCATGGGGAAGATGGGTGGCCCAAGGGCAGAACAAGGGCACCAGTCTACTCTCCAGGAGAGGGGAGGGGCGGAGGGGCTGGCCGCAGGGGAGGAGGGGGGGCGAGGAGTCCGCCAGCACTCCCTTCCCTAGGTAGGTCCCTGGGCCTCATTTGCTTCTCGTCTTGTCCAGGAGAATGAGCAGGGCCCTGGGACAGACCCTTTCAGCCCTGCTCCCGCAGCTGGGTCACTGGGGAAGCCCCACGGGCCTCCTCTGTAAATGGAAACGCCATCACTGACAGCCTCTCTTGGATACAAGCCCTTCTTCAGCCAGCCCCAGGTCTGGCTTGTCTTTGTATCCCCAGAACCCAGCCTGCCACCCAGTAGGCATTTCCTGTGTGCTGAAGCTGCCGAGCAGGGGAATGGAAAGGGCCCACATGCTTGGGACCTAGCCCAGTGCAGGTGCTCCTGGAAGGGTAACTCCGCCCCCCACTTTCTTCCCACTCCGCCCAGCCCCCACTCACCTTGTCATTGATCAGCAGTTCCATGGGGTCGTGGCCCGCCTCCAGCAGCACAATCTCATTGGCCTGCCCGGGCACCGAGTAGGAGAAGGGCGTGCCCTGGCCACTGCCACCCGACCTGGAGCGCAGCCACATGCAGACGGTGAAGGCGTAGAGCTCAGGCAGTGCCTTCCGCACACGGGCATACATGTAGTTGTTGCGGATGGGGATGCTGATCTTGAAGGCATCTGGAGGGCTGTAGGCTGAGGACCCTGAGCGGGGTGGGCAAGGTGGACATGGTGGGGGTCAGTGGACACTGATGGGGGGGCAGGGCAGACTCTAGGATGAGGGCTCCTAGTCCCTGGGCATCTCTCATGTGCCAGGTGCCTTCATGGACCTCTCTACTCTGCCTCTGTGTTGACGGGTGTGGTTAAAGCACAAGGGCTCTGGACCTGAGATGTCCTGAGTTCAAATCCTGCCTCCACACTTTCCAGCCATGTGACATCCCACAAGTTCAACGTCACCTCTCCAGCCCGGGTTTGCTCAGTTAAATGACATAAATAAGATTTCCTCCCTCCCAGGCTTGTGTGAGGGCCGAGCGGGACAAACTACATAAAGGGCCTGGCCTATAATAAATGCTCAACACACCTGAGCTGTGGCAATGATCATTTTTCTGAGCTCTTTGCCTATTTATGTAATAGCACTACACAGAACCTTCTACCTGGCAGGCACTGTTCTAAATGCTTTCACATCATTCTTGTGACAACCCCATGAGGTAACCACTATTATAATCCCCATTTCACAGATGAGGAAGCCTTGGTGCAGAGATTAAGTCATATTCTCAAGGTCACGCAGCTGGTCAGCGGCAGAGGTGCCATCCGAACAAGATCATCTTGGGACTCCTTGGTGTCCAGGGTGCCTTCCCGTGCAGAGTTTCAGGGATTCTATGTCTTGAGTATCAGAGGGCTTTCTGCAGGGGTAGACTAGAGAGTCACCTCTTCCAAGGCCAGGGGGTAACACCTACCGCACCCACCTCTAGGGTAGGAGGTCCCCTTCTCTAGCTGCTTGTTGAGGGCTGGGGTTAGGGGGTTGGGGCTGGAAATGGTGGACCTGGGTTCCCAGGTCGGCTTGAGGCTTGGGGTGAAGGCTGATGTGCTGATGCAACATGGTAAGAGAGGAAGGGACTCAGTGCCCCTTGAAACCCCTTTCATAGATGAGGAAGTTGAGTTCCAAGAAGGGACACAACTTGCTCACAGGCACACAGACATCCAGCCTAGCTGTCTGCCTCCTCTCTGCTCTGCAGCTTCTGGAGGGGTGTGTCCCTCAATCCCTTAGAATATGCAGTACAGGGGGCCAGCGGCAGGACTGAGGAGGGATGAGTTTGCCTTTCTTGTCTTTGTGCTCCAGCCAGGATGCGAGCCCTGAAACCCACTGGGTCGTGCCTCGCCTTCTGCCTTGCCCCTGCTCTGGCCCCTCCACTCCAAAACTGACTCTCTCCCTCTGCCTTCAAAGACCAGCCTGAGGCTCGTCTCCTTCAGGAAGCCTCTTGGATTTCCTTCTCCTGAACTCACGTCCCACATCTAAGCCAGTCCCCAATCATTGCTCATGATTTCCCCTTGGTATCCCTAACTTGTCTGTAAGCCTCTTAAGGGTGGTCCTCACAAGGTTTCAAAGAGGAAAGGTCCCTGAGAGCTCAGGAGTCCTAGATCCCCACATTTCAGATGAGAAAAACGAGGCCTAGGGAAAGGAAGCAAAACTGCAAAAAGCAAGCCAGTGACAGCTGTGGAGCCAGGAGCCAGGACTCCTGATGCTCAGACCTGAGCACTGTCCATGACAGCACGTTTCTCTGACTCCTGGCACTGCCAGGCCCAGTTGCTAAGCAAGGAGCAAAATTCTGATTCACAGAAGGTGCGATTTCTGTGGGGTGGTTAAATGCATGGACTTTGGAAAAGTCCAAACCTCAGACCTGGTTTGAGGTCCAGATCCACTACTCGCTGGCTGTGTGACGCTGGGCCTCAGTCGCTTGACCTCTCTGAGCCTCAGCGTCCTCATCTGTGAAATGGGACGAACAGTACCACCCCCGTGTGGTTTGTGAAGATTAAACCAGCGGACACGTCAAGTCCTTAGCCCACTCCCAGAACGTAAGGGCCAGAAAATGCTAACTGTTAAGAAAAATAATGATATTCCCCAATTATTCTCTCCTTGGGTTTCGCAGCCTCCTCCCTACTGTCCCATCTAGCTTTAGCCTCTGGAGAGCACAAAAATGTTTTCAAGTGAATCTGCCTCCTTGAGGACCCATCTGGGAACCAAGGCCCCGCCTGCCATGCCCTCTGCTGGGCCCTGGACCCACCATGTTCCAGTCCAGCCACGCGGTCCTGCAGCGCATCCAGCTCCTTCTCCACCTCCTGCCGCTGCCGCTGGCTGTTGTGACTGAGAGCCACGCGCTCCTTCTCCAGGGCCAGCACCTTGGCCAGCAGCTGCCCCTCTAGTTCGTCCATCTTGGAGTGCAGGGCTGTGGGCACCGCGGGCACAGGGGCTGGGGCCGCTGAGAAGTTCACATGGGCTGGGAGCTCCTGCTGCTTACGGGGCAGAAGAAAGGGCATGTGAGGTCACTTGGAGGGCAGAAGGAAAGAGACACAGGGCTCAGAGATGCCCACCACCCCTGTCGGGTGACCCCAGGTGAGCCTCAGCTTCCCCAAAGGCAAAATGGGGATGGCGATATCAAATTCAGGCAACACAGTTCAGCGAAAGAGCAGGTTCTTTCCACTGCCGGTGTCTGATGGTAAGCTGAAAGCAGGCTGGGTCTACCCTCAAGAACATCTCAGCCTGTGGTGGGGTGGAGGTGGAGGGGCTGGCGGTGGAGAGCTCTAGAAGCTCCCCTGGGTGGTTCTCACATTGCAGTCAGGGTTGAGAGCCACGGCTGAGTCCTTCATAACCGAAAGCTGTATGCTGACAGGTTCTTGAAGGGGTGGATTGTCTTAGTCTTCACTCATTCGCTCGCCAGGTTTCTCAAAATGGTGCAAGGCTCTGTGTGGGCACTGGGCAGATGCAGAGGCACAAACCAGGGGCTTCTGGAATAGGGCTGCAATGGTGTGCCTTAGTCAGAAAACCCAGGGCTCAAATCCAGCTCCAGAATCAATCTGCTGTGTGACCCTGGGCAAATGCCTCTACTTCTCTGAACCCCCGTTTCCTCACATGCAACAGGGTACAACTGTACCTATTTAGAAGGGGGGTTGGGGGATGGCTAAGTAGTAAATGCCAATGAACAGAGGCTGGTTATTGCAATTACAGCCCAGGGCAGAGTGATCCAAGCTGGTTTCTGACACCCTCATCCTGCCCAGGATTTTTTAGAGCCTCCCTTTTGCTGCCTTATGACCCCAGCGGGCAGGAGAATGGGAGCCGGGGCCCGGGGAGGGGGGCTCTCCTCCCCCTCTCCTGCTGGAAGAAGCCCTTCTGGAGTGGAAGAAGACAGGCGAGGCCTCAAGTCCAGACTCTGGGAGGGGGTAGTCTCTGGCAGACATTAATAATTCAGTGAGCTTCTAGGACCTTCCCTGTCCCCTTGGCTTCCTTCACACTCCCCAAGGGCCCAAGCAGCTCCTGCTCAATCAGCCCTGGGCCTTGCCTGCAGGCTTAGCCCCAGGCCTGAGCTCACTGAATTCTTACCATACTTTCACTGAGCAAGGAATAATGAGGGAGCACCTACTATGGGTTGGGCCCTGCACCCAGTGCTGAAGGTAACTGCCGAGGGCAAAACAGAAAACCAAGAGCACAACCTAACATTTCCTGAGTGCCCCGTGCCTCGCAGGATGGCCCCTTGGCTTGGAGCAAGTACAGGATACCCCTCCCGAGCCTCATTGGCCCAGCTCTGGCCCTGTGGTCATTTGCTGGGTGAGACTGGGCAGATTCCTTCGACTTGAGGTGCGTGTCTTCTAGCTGTGTGATGAGCAGATAAATGGGTGTCCTGCCTCAAAGTGCTGGAGGGTGGGGCGGGGAGGCCAGCGCCTGAGAGAAGCTGCCATGACCTCATGCTGGGGAGTTGGAGGGACTGACACCCCACCTCGGGAGTGGGGGCAGGGGGGCTAACTTCTTTGGTGTCATTTTTCCTCATCTACAAAATGAGCGCTTGGAATGCCCAGCTTGCAGACCTGTGGTCAGGATTAAATGGTGGTGTGCAGGACAAAAGCCAGGACCAAAGCTGGACCACAGTGGGCCACTTTTTTTTTTTTAACATTTATTTATTTATTCTGAGAGAGAGAGAGAGAGAGAGGGCATGAGCAGGAGGGGCAGAGGGAGAGGGAGAGAGAATCTCAAGCAGACTCCCCGCTGAGCGCAGAGCCTGATGCAGGGCTCGATCTCATGACTCTGAGATCACGACCTGAGCTAAAGCCAAGAGTTGGACGTTTAACCAACTGAGCCACCCAGACGCCCCCACAGCGGGCCACCTTTATCCCCCACCACATCCCACCTGAGAGGGCGCAGCCACCCATCCGTGCAACCGCCTGCTTGGCGCCCCAGACTGGGGTGCAGGCCAAGTGTGGTGGGTGGGGCATGGACTAATGAGCAGCTCTGTACAGCTGGCCCCCACCCCTGTTACACTAACCTCTGATACCCTATCTGGAGGGCTCCTTCTACCTCCCTGGGTGCCTACGAATCCTAACTCTGGCTAAACACAAAGCCTCAGTTTCCTCTTCTGTGAAACAGGGACAACAGGTCCAGCTCTGTCCATCCCCAGACGGATGGAAGGATGGAAGGGTTGAAGTAACAGGCCCTCCTGGACAATAAAAACAGAATGCAAACTGTGAGCCTTGAATACATCAGCCAACGAAGAGCTGGCTACCTCCAGCATCTTCCCTTGGCCACGAAAGCCCATGGAGTGTCAGGGCCAGCCACCCACCGCACTTAAAGTGGCTGAACGTCCAGTAAATCTTGGGCTGAGGCAATTAGCTCATAGGAGGCATCCCGTCTCAGTGCCAGCAGGGCCACGGCTGCGTCTCCTGGGCTCCGGCACCCTCTATCCTCAGTTTCCCTCTTTCCACGGGGCCAAGCTTGACAGGAGGGCCACACGTCTGAATGAGACAGGGTGCCAGGCCCGTCCTTGCCCCTGCACGTGTATTTACTCACCAATCCCCACAGCCGCTCATTCTGCTTGGTACTCTTAGTGCCCCCATTTCACAGATGGGGGAACTGAGGCAGAAGCCTTTTTGAATTTCCGACAGCAATGGGGCTGGGCAAAGCTGACACCTCTAGAGCACTCGAGCAGAGCGTCCTCCTCCCTCAGAGGGGGAACAGGACGTCTAGTGCTATTTACACAGACGCCGTGGTGAGGAGAAGCCGTGCATGCTGAGCGAGGCGGGCGTGCAAGCTGTTCTTTTGTCAGAGCCACCAGCTCTGTTGCCGGCAGGAAGGCCAGGGAGGAGGTGGGCTCTGAAGATCGGGTGCGGCCCCCTCCCCACCTCAGTGTCTGAATCAGAAGAACATGACTCCCCCCACTTTCCCATCTGCTGCAGGCGCAGGCTGTGCCGCGTGGGCTCCTGGCTGATGCCAACTGGGCCCCTAGCCCAAGATGGGGGGAGGGGTCACCCCCACTCAGGTCCCGACGAGGCAGCGAGGGGGGGCTCCGAACCCACAGACTGTTGCGCTGGGAGTCTGGGTGGGGTTCGGCGTGAGTGTACGGGCCCCGAGCCAGAGCCCGGGGTCCTAGCCCGGCTCAGCGCGAACGCGCTGGGCTCATTAGCACTCAGTAACGAGAATGCGACAGTGGCCCTGGTCCTCATCGTCGCATACCACGTGCCAGGTCCTGCACGGGGGAAGTCTGTGCGCACATTTCACAACCCCTCTCGACAATCGGGGGAGGTGAGGAGGCCCACTTTACAGATGAGGGAACTGAGGCGGTGAGCTGAAGTTTCAGGAGCCCCAGCCCAGGCCCTTCAGGTTCCAGAAGCTGTTCACCTTCTTCCGTCCTTCCCTCACAGTGTGGGTCTCAGTCTGCCAAGTGGGCAGAGTGCTGGCTGCCCTGCCTGCCTGGGGGGGCCAGTGGAAGAGGTTCCGGTGGCCATGAAGAGACTGGGAGGGTGCGGCGGGCTGTCAGACCGCGGTGGCGGGTGGGGGGGGCGACCTCACTGAGGGACCCGGAGAGCAGGGACCTGCCTAGGGAGGGTGGCTCAGAGGCTGGGAGGATGTGGGGAGGACCCAACCCCCTCGTCCCAGGTGGGGTCTGCTCCTTTCCCTCGGGGAGCAGAAGGAGGGTGCCGGACTTCAGCGCCCAGCTCACCCCCCGCCCCCGGGACAGTGCAGGGCCCAGCTCTGGGGGTGGTGGGCAGGGTGGAGGAGGAGAGGCTTCACGGCGGCACTGTGGGTGCGGTCTCCTCACCTCCCCATCTGACCACCCCCAAGTCCAGTGGGAATCTGCTGGGCTCACAGCTGGGTTCCACCCGCCTAGTGACCTCGTGTACAGCTGCGGTGCCTCAGTTTCCCCAGCAAAAAGGGTGCAGCAATATCTCATCACACTGTAGTGAGAAGTGAGTTGTATACTGCCCTGAGGGCAGAGCAGGCCCGGGAGGTGCTTGGTGTCAGTTCTTTTTTTTTTTTTTAAGATTTTATTTATTTATTTATTTGACAGAGAGAGGCACAGCGAGAGAGGGAACACAAGCAGGGGGAGTGGGAGAGGGAGAAGCAGGCTTCCCACGGAGCAGGGAGCCCGATGCAGGGCTTGATCCCAGGACCCTGGGATCATGACCTGAGCCGAAGGCAGATGCTTGATGACTGAGCCACCCAGGCGCTCCTTGGTGTCAGTTCTTATTGCCACTACTTAAATAGCTCTTGAAGGAGCCCATCCTTCTCCAACTCTAACCATAAACCTTTTTGTTCAATCACTATGTTGAGAGAAAAAGCAGGTTACAGAAGAAGAGTTGGATACCATTTGTATAAAGTTGCAAAGATTCAAAACTAGATCATGTATTTGTAAAAAGCAGGAAGAAACACGTGGGGAGAGATGAATACAAAATCGGGGCAGTGGTGACTCTCTCTTGAGGGCTGGTGGAGCTGGGAGGCTCTGAAGGGCACGAGCTGATTGCAAACGTTCTGGGTCTTGAGTCTGGGTCCCCACCTGGATGGCATTCTTTATACCTTTGTGTATGTCTGAGATACTCCGCAATGACTTTCTTTAAAAAAACAGGGAAAAATCCAAAAGCAGAGTCTCTGAGGGTAGAATCTAACCCTGAATCTTTTTTTTTTCATTTTTTTTAAGATTTTATTTATTTATTCATGAGAGACAGAGAGAGAGAGAGAGGCAGAGGGAGAAGCAGGCTCCCAAGGAGCAGGGAGCCCGATGCGGGACTCGATCCCAGGACCCTGGGATCATGACCTGAGCCGAAGGCAGACGCTTAACCATCTGAGCCACCCAGGCGCCCCTAACCCTGAATCTTAATGGTAGTCTCACTTGGGTCCTCTGGGCCTCCCTAGTCCAGGCCCCGGTCACCTGGGCCCCTACACTGGCCCTTCTCCACCGGGCAGCCAGGGGCAGCTGCCTAACTGCTAAACCAACGGTGTTGCTTAAAATCCTTCAATAGCTCCCCTC